TTTTTTGGGGGGGGGGGAGGGGGTCCTTATTATAGTTGTAGTATATTGGGCCCCCAAACCCCATTCTAGTTATTAAGGCCCCTATACTATACACTTCAAGGCAACAGGACACTGCAAGCAGGATCATGGCAAACGAGGGGGCGGCATCATACAAGCAATCTACAATGAACACCCGGCGGAGCACCACCCAGTCATCAACGTGGTCTTTGGTGAAACTGCTGACAATAGTAGAACAACGTTAAGCTGGCCCAACTGAGTGAAATTACCCATGCGGCGTCACGACATGTACGGAAAGGAAGCAGGGCACTACTACGTTACTGTGGCCTGCAGCATCCTTCATCTACATCAAGGGTCATCACAAACATGCATTTCGCTAGCAGGTGCTGTTGTTCGTGAGAAGTAATCCCCAGATCCTGTATTGCAATGGTGTGCAACCTAGACAACACTCTCGTCAGCCTTGCAAGCGTCATGCTGCTCCACGCGTAGGCATGAACGTCCTCCTCGTCACAATCACCATCAACACCATGATTAGTTTCGTAATTAATGTAGTCATCACCATCATCATCACAATCGTTCTCCTCGCAGCAGGATCAGGCTGACAGCTACCGCGAGTGGGTCATAAGCCCAGTACTCCGCAAATAGCCGAACTTTACCGTCTGCCTTCCCAAGGTCACCAGGGTTGCTGCAACCATGGGTTCTTGAGCTTCCAACCCGAAACCACGGTTGTAAATAGGAATGTAGGGTCTAGGCCCCAAAAGGAAACTGAGCATGTCCAAGCGACTCCAAGTAGTGGAACACACCGTGGCTGACGATCACTGTGTTGACGGCCTCACCATAAATATGAATACAAAAACATCCTAAATCCTAAATGCAAAGACGAAATACACACAAAGCAGCCCCGCAACAGTGGTCCTACACTTCCACTACACCCGCCCGCCTACAGAACATGAGGAGGCTCGTCGTGGACACGAAATGACGAAGTGGGTCCAATAAGTGCTCCAAACGAAAGAGCTTCGAAAAAGAGCCTAAGAATGATCCAGAAAGAAAGGCGTTGGGAGATGAAATCTTGGACAGCTTCTGCACTCAGTGCTTCGATTCAGCTCTTGCGCTGCGATTCAGCTCTTGCATTTTGTAATACATGAGATGCATCCGAGCTTGTGGAGTTTAGGACACGCTTTAGGATCTAGGATTTCTGCTCGCGTCCTGAGACTTAGCTGTCGGAGATCTCCGATTATTTTCGAGGTACTATGGATTTGCCAACCAGCTCACACAGCACAGCACGCAACACATGCCTCTCGCACCTGTCAGACAGCATATATTCCATGACCCACCAAGCAAGAATCACGGCTTCGGATTAAGGATGGCAGAATGTCGGCAACAGGTCTTTAAAGAAATCTGACAACTTGAAGGTCAAGCTTTGCGTCTGCTCTGGGGCTTCGGCTGCACGGTGGAGCCACTGTTTTTGCCCAAATTCCCCCCTAAATCCTAGGGTAGAGCAGTATCACCTTCAAAGCAGTAGGTCTTAGATGGTGGCTGCTGTAGCACTAGGACCCCAGTACCACCACTACAACGCCGTCCAGGACGTTCTCGACAACCAGGACCTGAAGGACCACCAGGAACACCTCCGGCTTTCCGCCAAGTACTGGGCGCGAATCAGGACGAATCCGGAGCGCAGCCATGCTCTCTCCCGAAGTACAGTACTTACTTGTGGATCGCGGACCACGGCCGAAAGCTAGCCAACAAGCCCCGAGCAGTGGCGCTTTCGGCAGGAGCACGGACAGTTTCTTTCCCTCAAGCAAGTACTGGCGGGATTCAGAACTACTCAGAAAATCTACTCCATGTATACCTTTTACAATGAATCCGGCCCGGCCGGCTGGGAGACAGCAGCACAGCCGATCCTCTGTAAATAATAAGACGCGAGCAAACAAAACATTCACCACGCAACAGTGGGAGCCGTCCCGCGCACTCCGTGTGCGCATGCTTACCACTGTTCTTTACACCCAGCATAGGCAGCCCAAGGTGTGTACCACACTGTTCGGGGAATAAGCCCTGTCTAGCAAAAAAGAATCGCTCGAATTGAACAGAAGGAATAGGCGTATTCAGGAGCCGTTGTGGCAATAGTTTGACCCTAGACCGGCCTAGACCCCAAACAACTTTACACCGGCAGCTGTTCAGCCTCCGCGGGCTTTTCCGGATCCACCAGGAGCTGACCCGAGCGTTGGCCGATCATCTCTAATTCCACCAGCATGACCTTAACCAGTCACGGATATGGGGGACGGGGCGTCTCGGGGGGTTGGTTGAAAAAGCCGCATCCAGACTTCCTTTACAGACTTTTCCAGAAGCTTTGCAGATCTTTCCAACTTGATCCGTCTGGCCATTTCCCGAAGCCGTCCGCACTTGTCCCAAACCGTCCAGGCTTGTCCCCACCTGGGAAAACTCCTAGGGGTACTATCCAGACTTATCCCAGAACCGTCCAGACTTATCCGGAAACCTTCCAGACGTATCCCGAAACTGTCCAGCTTCCATTAGGACGGGGCAAGATGGGGGTAAGTGCGACCCCCCCCCCCCCACCTACCAACCCCCTCCGGCATCCATGATGCTATAGGGGTTTCCCCACCGCTCAGCTGCAAAGGCTGCAGGAAAGCCCTGAAGCGCCAAACTCACCAAGCTCTTCTCTCTGCGAAGGAGCCCCGTTGACTAATGTAGGAACCTGGTTAAGAAACCTTGGGCCTTTATTGGAGTTCTTCGTATTTTTTTCACAAGGGACTCGTCTGCTGCCCTTACTGCCCGAGTTCTTCATATGAACCCTAATACGTTGGGTTTATCGGGCCAGGTTTCCTTCGTCTGGTTCGTACATTGGTTCGAGCCACCCCACTCAACGAGATAACCGGTGTTTGCCCCTCTTAGACATCAGAAGTCTTGACCGGATGTTAAGAATTGAGGGCAGCGGCAGAGACCCTAGCTGCAGAACCTCGGCCAAGACATTCGGGCATACCTACGGCGAGGATATGGGTAGTTCTCTAAATTGGGGGTCGTTTAGGTCCCCAAAGTAGTACGGCACCCTTATAAAAAGGAACCTAAAAGAGACCCTAGTTTAGAGAAGTATATACCCATATGACTTTCGCTTGAAGCGCAGTCCTCAGACAGGAGGGCGACTCACTCCTCCCGTCCAAAACTACACCCCAAGCCCTCTTGGGAGAAACTTTTGATATTAGAGGGAGTAATTTTTTGTCTAAGAGTTTCGATTTAAACTTGCAGGAAGGTTCGGACACGATGTGATTCCTCTGGGCGTGCAGTAGTGGTAGGCCCCTGAAGACTCAGGCAGCTGAAAGAATCCAGCACCCTAGACTTCACGCACATGTGGGTAGTTCTCTAAACGAGGGTCCCTCTCGCAAGGGTGCCGCACCACATGAGGGACCCAAACACAGATCCTAATTTATTCAAAACTACCCGACCCATGTAGAGACAGAGAGAGGGAGAGAAAAACAAAGACAGATGTTTTCATTTACAGAGATCTGAGCTGTGGGCAGCGACAACGCAATGCGAGCCTCTGTTTAGGATTTCACTGCTTATCCCGCCGGAGAGGGCCCTCATGACCCTCTGGATTTCGGTCAAGCCGCGAGTGAGTTGAGCAAGATCAGAATGCCACCGACAGTGTCCAAGACCTGCGAATCCACCTTGCTGCAATTCGTTCTTGCGACTAGCAACAAAGTGCCACATCTGACAGCCCGAAGGAAAAACAACTTTAGCACTCAATACCCTGCCTTTATGCAAAAGACGCTTTGTCTCAGTTGCCTGAGATCCTGAAAGTCGAAAGTCGGACTTCGGAATCCGAGCCGATTAGGGCAGCTTTTGGGCTTGGGCCCCGACTCTGGCTTCCTCATGTCGGCTGTAGGCTTTCGGCTCTTGGGGTTTAGGGAATAGGGTTCGGGAGATCATAGCAGATTTCTAAACTTGGCCCCCGTTTGGGGGTGCCAACACACAGGCTGGCATTCTCAGAAGAAAGACTGCTGAAGCGTGTAACCCCATGAACCCTAAACCCTAAACCCTAAACCGTGGGTTTAGGGTTTAGGGTTTAGGGTTTATACACAACCTGTGCAGAAGCCCCTGACACGCGACGAAGAGTTCCAGTCTTTGCCGCTTCGGGCCTTGATGTAGCGAGAGATGGACATGCTCGGCACCTCTGGCGCACTTTTCGAAAGCCAAAAAACTCGATCAAATTGGGGGTTTTCGGGTCTTATAGTCGCGCATAGTTCGCAGCCGCTAAATAGCCACAAGAGGTTTGGAAGGGGAAGAACCATGGCTTACAGCCACCTCGTGATTATTGACCCTCGACTCCCCTAGCTTCTGCGATCAGCTTTGGCAATCAGCTCAGGGCACTGGCGGCACCAACATGCTTGATGAGTTCAGGGATTCAACACCAACCGCCTAAATTCTAGTGTTCTAACAAGCACTCTTGGCCAAATAGGTTAAACGCTCCAGGCCCTCAGGCGGTTCTGCACAGGTTGCGGAGCCGCAAGGTTGGAGTTCAAAAGCTCCCCGTGCTGACACCCCTTGAGAACACTTGCTTCAATCCTAGGCCAATGCAAGGTCATCGGGATTTTGGTTTCAATTGTGTTGGGACGGTGCCAGCCGGTATTTTCGGGAGGTTTGCGGTGTGTACAGCCAGGGTTTAGGCCATTTAGGCTTTCGTCGATTACTTTATGTGGGTCTAGGTTAGGCTGTAGGGACCTCAAACCCTCCATCTGCAAATAGGGGCCTTCAAAACTAGTATAGGGTTTTGGGGTATATTTAACCCCCAAACCCTAAACCCTAAACCCTACCAGAAAACGTAAGAGGTAATTGTTGAGGCCCCTACAGGTTACTACCCTCCCAGTAGAGAGTTGGCTCTGAAGCTTCGGAGACGAGGTCGACATGTTCATGTAGAAGCCTTAATAGTCAGAATAGGGTTTTGGGGCATATCATACTATAATTACGTATAGTAAGGAACCCCCCAAAATAGTATGGGCCCCTACATGGTCCTCGAAACCTGCTGTTTGCCCTTCGGCCCGTTTGGGCTTTAGGACCTGCCCAAGCTTTTCTGGTCGAGTGTGGTTTAGGGTTTGTTTTAGGGTTTTATACAGGGTATACTATACAGTACCCCAAATAGGTTGACGGTTGCCTACTCTGCTGCTACGAGTAGCTTCTCCCCACGCCTCCCCGAAAACGCCCGCCTCCCAAACTCAAATCCGAAGCCTTATATACACTTGATATCCGAACCCGTGAGCCCCAGTCCCTAAAACTCATGCCCAAAGCCTATAACCCTAAACCCTAACCCCGAGAATGTAGGAACCTGATTAAGAAACCCTGGGCCCTTATTGGGGTTCTTAATCTATGATCCCGAATATATTGGGGTTATAAGGCCAGGGTTTCTTAATCAGGTTCCTACATTAACCCCTTGAGCCCCAAGCCCTGGCCCCAGGCCCTAACTCCCTGGGGAAGACGAGGCGCATGCGAGGCCGAGGCCGATAACTTCCGGGAAACCCACCATCCCGTGGAAGAGCTTGCAGGCTCCCTTTGTGGAGTTTGTGTAGGGTTTTGTAGGGTTTAGGGTTTAGGGTTTCCCTTTGTGGAGTTTGTGTAGAGTTTGTGCAGGGTTTTGTCGGGTTTAGGGTTTCCCTTTGTGGGGTTTGTGTAGGGAGTTTAGGGTTTAGGGCTTGGGGGTTATGGAGGTTACAAAGGGACATCGGGTTTAGGGTTATAGGGGTTAAAGGGATTAGGGCTTAGAGCTTCGGGGCTGTAGGGGGTGCGGTGGAGTTGTTTTGTGGGACTTTTGCGGGTGTGGAACGGAATTCGACCAGGGCTTGTGTTGAAAAATCTGTAAAATTCAAGGGTGTCTTCGCTAGAGTATGCTACTTGACTATGTTAGAAACAATTGTTTCTTCATTTTAAAAAATAATATTAACCATACATTAATGGGGTCCTTTTAGGGGGGTTCTCGAACCTCACTTCAGGACTACTTTGGCTTACGTCTGCTCCCTCGAAGAGTTTGGGTCCCAATGGCGTGGATGGCTTTGGCACGTCCGGGATCCCCTTGGACCGGCTTACGCGACTCTACCTATAGTCTCCTTTGCAGTTCCTTTTGGGGCGACCTCATAAGATCCTAAGTAAAAATGGCCCAGACCAAGAAAACGTTACAATGGATACCGTAGGTAAGACGACGATCATCTGGTAATTGGCTTATGGATACTGGCTCTTTGTGTTTCTTAGCCTGGACATGCGACCAGAAGATGATATCGTTTGGAGCCAAGGTAATGTAGCGAACGGACAGCTTGGCAGGGGTTGTAGAAAAGGCCCCTCTATTCTACACCTCTGCTACGCTTTCCGTGTAAGCATCGGGCTCGGGTTTTTGCTGTGATTTAAAGATGAAGGTGAACCGGCAGCATTCGGGAAAGCACCCAGTCGTCTTGTAAGATACTTGGGGCTTCTTAGGATCGCAAGCACACTGACACTGAAACAACGGCATGGTGCTGCTCTCGAAACTACCCAAACCACGGGAGTGTCCCTCCAATCTCAAGCAAGACAAGCTCCTCCTAACTCCATAGCTCCTAACATCGCTAAACCCTAAACCCAAAACCCTAAACCCCAAAATCCCACGGCAATCGGCTCGATAGTGGCCAGGATGGCAGATTGGATCTCGGAGTCAGTGCGCACCTCGGCTGGAACTGTCGGGGAAGTACTGAGCACCTCATCTAGGCTCTCCAGGATTCCAAGCGTTTGGATACGATGTGTGTTGGAACTGAAGCGCAGTGTCGAGGGTCTAGGGTTGTTGCTCGAGTCGTGCTCTCGCCTACATGCTCGGGATTGCTTCGTCTGGTTCTATTCTGACCTGACAGTTTAGACCAAGACAGTGTTGCGAATTGCATTACGGCCCCCCCGCATGGGATGGCAATATAGACATGGCCACATGATAGTTTAGCACTGCATGGCAAAACATCAGATATAACACAGCATCTGATATAGAACACAGTCCCGGCTGAGTCTGGGAAATGAATATGAATTTTCCAGCGACATGCAATGAAGTTCATGTGTCATCCGGCAAAAAGTGCATAGATGGTATGCAGCACACGTGTGTCGGCGTTGACTTCAGGATCTCATGTAGGCGCCTTGTTGATCAGCACGGGTGAATTATACTATACCGGTATTAGGGAGCCCTGATTCGCAGCGTTACAGTTGGCTAACTTATACTTATGTGAAAATGATAAGGGGGTTAGATCATAAGTCATTTAGTATTTTACGGACATCGAGGGCAAGGCACCGCAGCCTGTGATCCCAGTGCTGTCGTCATAGTACCCTCGGCGGAGAGAGGAGTCACGCTGAACTGCTTTGCTGGCTTTCTCTCCTCTTGTCCAGACCGCATACACAGGTCACGCAAATCGATGCAGGTTTGCATGTCCATCTAATGACATAAATAAATATATATATATATATATGAGCCCGATGCCTTTGGGGTCTATTTAGCTAGTCTTTTATATATGCAATATAAAACCCCTAGCTAAATATTATACATAGAAGTTATACATTGCACAAACATTATTCCGAAAAGTTTGAGACATGCCCTGAGATATAATTTAATATTGAATTTCCATACATTTCGGAAGATTGGCGTGTCAACCGGCATCCGTACTCGATGCATCCCACATCTTACATGACAATCCGATGACTGCCATCATGCTATACATCGAATTTCCATACAGTTCGGAAGATTGGCTTGGTGACCGGCATCCATGCTTGATGCACCCGACATCTTAGTTCTCCCACCTGCTACTTACTTCCTTTCATTTCCAGAAAAGAGGACAATGAACCGGAACTGATATGGAAACAGTGCCTGATGGGTGTTGTGCCATTTTACAAGCCAGACCATATCATGAATGGGTATTATAAATTTACAGGTATTGTTCCCGTTCAACGCAGGTATGTGTGTTCACTTCTCCTTGTGATTCGGTTCTAGCCCATGAGCAAAGGA